CCATCCAAGCAGCTGAATCTTAAAGTAAGTTAATTTTCTGAACTTTTGTCACCAAAGTGTGTTTATCAAACTTTGTCTTGTTGGCATTAGAGTTAGCTGCCTTCCTCAACACTCCTTATACATTTGGTTAATCCTACTAAAAAAACAACCTCTCTATTTTGTAGATTAAATAGTCTTGAGTCTATCAAGCCCAAACACTATCCACCACTACTACAATACTTCAATAACTTGATAAATCTCAACATAACTTAATTGTCTCCTTCCAGTTTCAAATAAACTTTTTGTCAAAGCTAATAGCTCTTTTGATGCTTTTAAAAATTTTCTCTGTAATCTCTCCTTTTTAATAGATTATTGTAAAAGTAATAATGATGATTATAATACATGAAACTAAGCAGTTATGTGCAGGGTAATTTATATACTTGCCTAAATTAACCTTATAATTATTACATTACTAATAATGATTAATACTATACCTTACAGGTGAGGAAACTGTATTAGAAAATGAATAAGTTGCCCCCAGGTGCATGATTCTACTTGGACCTATTAATATTTCCTTTCTGGTAATTTTTATAATTCTTTCTTTAGCTATTTCTTCTAGGTATTTCACATGGATATCTCTTCTTTACACAAACATTGATATCTTCTAGGACCTCAGATATTTTCTGACCTCAGCCACTTCTTTTTAACTATACATATTTTTCCTATATGATCTTATCCACTTTAATCATTTTAATTGCCACATACAATTAGCCAATTAAAATCAGCTCCTAATTCTCTGGATTCAACTCTGTAACTGCTGTCCCTCAAATTAAGATGGGTGAGCCAAACTGAGTTCTGAATATTTCCATATTTGTTGACTTCCCAAATGAAAATGTGAACAATATGAGGAGCAATGTGTACGCATTGCTAGTAGTCAAAACATTATCCCTAGTAGTCAAAACATTATCCAGTATTCATGAATTCACAGGTTATTCCATATATTCCAGACTTAATATTTTATTATAGTAAATTAAACTGGAGCATAGTAGCTATCATGGCTACTTTTTGAGATCAGTAAATAATTTTTGAGGCTTTGTCAGAGTCAGTCTCTCCAGATTCAAATTAATTTCATTGATAATTAGAAAAGATTTTAAAAATATTAAAGTAGGAAAACATTACAAAAATATGGCTATTGCTTGCATACTTATGGCAACAATACTCTGTAGTACATCTTTATTGAGTATTTCTCTTGTAAGTTAAAAACCTTGACAATTCCAGGAGTGTAGCTGTCAGTAACAAAGGAAAAGGCACCCTATTTCCATTACTTCAAAAGCACAGGATGTGTTTTTGTCCATCACTATTCTAAAATCACCTACTGTCTGTGCAGTATTATATTGTACATAACAAAAGAAAGCTACTGTTATGCTCATTTTTCAGGTCCATTCTTTCCAACTGTCAAATATATTCCACAGGTTTCCTATACAGTTGAATCAAAAAAATAACGAACTTAATAATATCCATTTTTTTAGTACAACAATCTGAAGTAAGGGGGTAATTAAATTTACACCTTTTTAACTTCTTCATTCACAAAAATGTACTATCTTTGGAGTTTTAAATTCCAAAGGCCTTACTTTAATGTTGTCCTCAACTACCTTTTACCCACTGGTTGCTTTTCTCATATTCTCTAGGCTCTAAAATAGTACTAAGTGACTAAGTGAATGATCAAGAGAAGAAGAAAAGAAGAATGGGAGGAAAGAAGGAGGGAAGGAAGGAAGGAAGGAGAGAATGAAGGAGGGAAGGAAGGGAGGGACGGAGGGAGGGAGGAAGAAAACAGATCTTCAAATTCTCTGTTTCTTTCCCGGGCTACATTGAGTCTACTGATGAGCCAAATCAATTTATATTTATAGCCAAATAAGTCAAATTGATAGGTTTTTATTTTTTTCAGATATCATGCTGATTTATTTCAAAACAAAAGAGGTAACATTAAATTAAAGACTTCCTATAAATACCCCTAGAGGAAAGGGAGTGAGGCATTAGTGTCCAGAGCAAGACCAGATCTACAGCCATTAGTTTCCATGCTGGAAACAAGGTGTTCTCCCCACAACCCTGATATAAAGATATTTCCATTTGTAAAAGACACTCCCCTAAGTCGCAGTTAGACAGACTTTCATAGAGTGCCTATAAATGCGTATTTACATCCTCTCCTGGTTTGAGAAGTTAGTAACACAGGGTGTTGTTTAAATCTAATCCACCACAAGTCTGAATGATCACTTCAAGATTACACAAGAGAAGACTCATCAGGGGAATTTTATTTTTTTTTTAATAACTAGGTTCAGAATGGACTCAGGAGTTCACATAAACTGTAAAATGTTCTACTCAGGTACTCTCATGTTCTTCTGAAGAACTGAGGAGTGGGGCAAGTCATCCCCTCTCCATCAAAGCTATTTGAAGGGAAAAAATAAAAAACTGAGGAAAAGGAGAAAGGAAAATCATTATTCAAATGAGATATCAATGTTTTTTTCCTTCTGGAGCATTCTAAAGTACTAAATCACAAGTGATATGTGAATAGATAAACTGAGACAGTGAGACAAGGGAGAAAAGATTTTTAAATATTACTAAATCTGGGATTTTTCCATTCTCAAATGATTTTTTTGGAACTCTAAAATTATAATTGAGTTATCCTTTGTTGGCTGTTAATTATTCCAATAGGAACTCTTTATCTTTTTATATTCTTCGTGAAGAAGAAATACTTACTCATCTTTAATAGAATTGCTAATGCATAAGAGCTTCATTAAATTAATAGTCACAGTAAGACAAAAATTAAGTAAAATTGTGCTTCTTGAATTATCTATCATATAATAATTTAAGCTGGTATTATTTGAACCAGTTATATAGAATTTCTGCTCAAAGCACACTAAATAAAAGGTGAATGTGCATTTTCTCACATAGTTTCTTTTATCTATATTTATCTATGTTTTGGGGCCATTACATATAATCAAATTGATTAATAGTAGGATAAGGGGAGAGGTCTTCTAAATTATTCGAGTGCCATATATTAGACAATTAACAGACAACATAATATGTGTTGAAAATCTGGCTCCATCCAATTAAATCCTCCTATTTCAGAAACCTAGATAAGGCTAACAGGAATGATTTTAGAGAGATCAATAAATACATCAGTTAACTTTATATTGTTAATCTTTAGGTCACATGTGCTGTACAGTGAAGTACAGGCTAATTTAAAAATAACTGATCTATACTGAAGAATAAGATATTATCTTCTTTAGGTATAAATTCATACTTTTGTTTAACCAATTAACATTTTTATTTTCTTTCTACAAAAATGTTAAAATATACCAAAGAGAAATTTTAGCACTATAAACAATTTTAGGAGATTTGTTTGCTTAATTTTTTCCTCTTTTGTTCATAATATGACTCATTCTAAAAGGATTTAAGAGAGCTTGCAAAATAAGTAAAAGAGAATTTTTTTTTAAATAATATAGATATTTTGAAAAGGGAAAAGCAAGGCTAGAGGAAATGATACAAAGTCGGAGATGCAGTAAGATTCCCAAATAAGGTGCCATAATGCCCTGTAGAGTTCTAAATATGGCTAAGAAATTTGACTCTGAAATTCCTGGGAGGGAAGAAACAAAAATAAGTGCAAAAACAAGAGATAAGTAATATCAACGCATCTAGGACATGAAAGTATATCCATAGCTCCAGAAAACCCTAGGTATTGGGACCTGTCAGGAATTTCTCCAGTGCTGTTTATGGGAAAAGAGAATGAGGCACAGTTCGTTGTCCCATATATCTTTACAACTTAAAAACAATGGTAAAACCTATTGGTTTCTTGCTTTTGTAGTCTCTCAACAAAAAAACAGACGTATAATACCAAAGAACAGTATAGCAAAGACCGTCCAATATGTGGTCAAACCATGTTTGGTAACAGATGATATAAAATTTAAAAAATATATAAGTTTTGAGAAATGGATGGAGTATACAATTTCCTGGGCTACTCCCATGAATAGAATTTTGCAGCCTAGGTCTTGTTATGAATAAGACACTAAAGCATTCATGATCTCATCAGAAACTTGCAAATATTTCATGTTATTGGAATATATTTAGCATATAAGTAATACATTCTCACTTCACAAAAAAATATATACTATAGAGGATAAAATGAATTATGGAAATTATTTTAAAAATCAGACATCATCTAATTAGAAATGATCCACTAAATACTTTAGCTATATTTAACATCTGAATATTCATTTGACAATATATTATGAACCTGATATCATTATTAATAAAACACTTCTTGGCATTTATATTTTTCACATTTTGAGATATTAATGTTATAAAAGTGTCATGTATATATATTTTTAGTTAAGAGTGGAGATAATTTATGTTTGGGGGGGAAGGGAGAAGACAACCAACTAGAGATTGGCTTTATTTTCTTTGAAGAAAATTTAGCCTAATCAAAACACACACCTGAATATAGGGCTGCCCCACCACTTTTCAGAGAGAGAGGGAAAAAATGGATGATTAAGAGCCTAAAGGTTTATGCCACAGCATACAGTGGCAGCAACATTGGGACTGGAAATTTTTCCAAGTTGTTGATACTAATCTCCTAATTATTCTGCAAAAAGAAAATCCTAATACAGCACCCACAGAATGGCTACTTTTAAGCAATTTTATTTCATAGTAAGCACTCCATGACAAATTAATTGCAAAAATGTATCCCTAGGTAACTAAATGAGTTCACTCCCTCTTAAAGTTTAGTTAGAAGCCAACTGATTATTGAAGGACATTTCGGAAAAGGGTAATTTTGTTTTAGCATCATTCCTATTAGGTAACAACAGTAGTTAATAGCATAGGGCCAAATTTTCTATTGAGGGTGCTTCTAATCAGACTAACAAAACCATGCATTCTTTTGTCTCTCTCTAGGAGAAGAGAAATAACTAAGAATGCTTTTCTGAAACAACCACTTTATAAAATTAGTCTTCATAAGCTCACTCAAAATGAAGCTTCTACTGTGGGCCTGCATCTTTTATGTTGCTTTTGCAAAGGTGAGTGAGGAAATAGACTTTAAGTTATAGCAATAGTATAACCATTGAACAATCATAGATAGGAATTCATGTTATTGACATAAGTTAGTGTAGCACTGATAACAACAAAGCAGAGAGATATGTTAATGGGCATGAGGTTTGTTGTGCCAAACTTTTCAAAAGATACTTTAAAAAGCAAAATAATAAAGTGTTATCTAAATGGCTAATCAGCAAGGAAAAGAGGTTAGTTCAAAAATGTAGTGGGCTAGAGGAAGACAAAGTTAGAGGCAGCCAGAATGCCATGTACATTGTTTTTACAAAGTTTATATCTTCAAATTATAGAAATCTGGGTTGGGCTTCCTCTGGCAGTGATGTTCCTTTGATAGAAGTGTTTAGGTAGAGTCACAGGAATACCTGGTCAATGCAGCATAAGCAGATGCGACTCCAATGTAAGAGATAGCTGATGGAAAATTCTTAATTCTAGCCAATGAGTGTGCTAAATAGCCTCTTTTATAAAAGGAGAAAATTATGACACTTACCTCACAGAATGGTTTTGAGCATTAAATATTTATCCAAAGTGTTTATCAGAGTATCTAGGACTCAAATGCTACTTTGTATTATTAATATTATTATAATATTATATATACTTGTATTATATATTATATAATATATAATTTATATGTTTGTATTTGCATTATATATTATTACTTTGTATTATATATTATCATAATAATATTAATATTAATACTATTGCAATTATTATCATCCTGGGAAAATTTCAAGGTACTTTTTTATATCTCCTAAAATTACCTGAATTAAACTCTAATTCTTAAAATAGTAAATGATGAGTTTCTATACTATTTTTTATTCTTGTGCATAATCTGTGGTGAATTCATAAAATACATTGAAGCTTCATTGGAGAACAAGTGAATATATGATCCTTGTGCAAGTGTAAACAAGTGGCACTTATACGTGTACATGCACACACATACACACACACACACAGAATGCAAACAAAACTTGAGAGTGAAAGACAGCAACAAAACCAAATATATGAATAACAGCCAGATGATCTTTCAGATTTACAGATTACAAACCCAAATCCTTCAGCAACAGTAAAACTTTCTAAGACAACTAATGAGGTAAAAAATATGGTTGATCTCAGGTGGAGCCCCAAGAGTCAGCTCCCTGCTCACTGCGGAGTCTGCTTCTCCTTCTCCCTCTGCTACTTACCCCACCCCATACCCTCCCCCCTCCAGCTTGTGCGCATGGGAGCGCGCTCTCTCTCTCTTTCAAACAAATGAATAAAATCTTTAAAAAAGAAGAAATAAACTATACTAATAAAACTGTACAAATTCTTCAGTAATATGGAAATCTGGGTACAAATGTTTTCAAATAAATAACCATAGTGAATTAATTTTTCCTTTGTTTTAGAAGCGTTTCCACTTCCCTGATGAGGTAAGACTCTTTTCATTTACATATGAATGTATTTGTTTTTACCTTAAAGTGTATTTTAAAGTCTCTGATTCCTTTACACTGTAGCTTTGGGACTACTATTGCTTTTAAAATATTAGTGCTATTAATCTATTCTTATTTGAAGAAAAATGTTTATGGAATACAAATGTAGAAAGGTTTTGAAAATAACTGTTAAAATGAAAACAGTCTGAGATACTCTTTTTATTCTTTTGAATTTCTTATAAGAGTTAATATATTACTTATGAGAAACTAGGGATCTATGGTCACAATACAAGTCACTGACATTTGTCTCTGTGAACATTCTGAAACCTTTATCACTTGTGCAACATGCATCATAATTAAGGATGAAAATATGATGCTAAAGGAAACATTTTTAACTCAGCAATTCAGGAAACCAAACCAAATTGAAAAGAAATGTTATATATAATATTAAATTCTTTTTTCTTCCTTTTTTATTTGAGTATAATTGGCACACAACGTTATATTAGTTTCAGGTGTATAACATAGTGATTCACCTTCTCTATATGTTATGCTATGCTCACTACAGTTATATCTATAATCTGTCACTATGAAGTGCTATTATGATATCTTTGATTATAAGCTCTATGTTGTGTCTTTTATTCCCATGATTTACTCATTCCATAAGTAGAAGTCTGTATCTCCCAATCCCCTTCACCCATTTTGCCCTCCTCCCACCCCCTTCCCTCTGGCAATGATCAGTTTGTCCTCTGTATTTAAAGATTTGATTCTACTTTTTGTTTATTCATTGCTTTGGTTTTATACAATGTTAAATTTTAATGAGGAAGCTGGACTGACTGGGAGACACAGTAACTAGGTCTGAATAAAGAAATCTTGTTTGTTCTTTCCAATACTTAGGATCCCAATATATAGCACGTGGGACAGACAGCACATAGTAGGCACTCATCTTATACTTTTTAAAAATAAATCCACCAAGAAAAGGCTTAAAATATCCCAAATCCACTGAGGAACAATCTGCATTTATTGAGAATTTATTTTGTAAAGCCTTGTTTAGTCACAGGGGTAATAAACACGAATGATGCTCTAATGTAAATATCTGGTATACATAAGCCAATTAAGCACTGTATGTGAAAGTTTACAAATAAACATGAATGAGAAATTTAATGATAGTGTAGAAACACTGGTACTAATAGAATATTAATATTGGCCATAGCATATCTATTTTGTAAGAATGTATTTAGAAAGCAGAAGAGTCCACATAGTCATAGGAAAACAAGGAAAACAACTATCACTTAAGAAAGAAAATTCCAAGTTGCTTGGACAGTTTTGTCAGTTATAGTCACTCTGAATATAGGTAGAGATCTAAAGAATGGTATTTTTCAGTGGCATGAAATTTAACACAAACATTATTTTCTTTGTTGTTTTAGAAAGTTCTCTCATCTGGTGAAAAGGTAAAATATGTTCTTATTTATTTATATTTTAAGATACTAAAATGTAGTCTGTATTATTTTCTTTTTTAAATAGCATTTTCAAAAAATAGTATTTTCTATCTAATAATGTTAAATAATTCAGTATTACTTTTTTTTTTCCTTGAAAAGCTAAGTAAGTAATTTAGAAATGCATTCTTTGCTTGGTTATGATGGGTCATTAAAAATGCATGTATAAATATAAGCATATGTGTATTTATATATCCTGTAATTTTCCTATTCATAGTGGTATCTTATCCAGTTTCACTGCCTGCACTTTAGATTAAATGCTTTAAACTGGAATTTAAACTTACATATCACAGAAAAGTACTGTTGATAAAGAAGGCAATATTTTCTAACAAATATGAAAAATGGATATATGTTCATAAACGGTGTCTGCCATTGACAAATTAGTTTATAATATATGTAAAGAAAATGTCAACTGGCCAGCATTAACATAAATACATAAGAAATATTAAACATAACCTATAATATTTTAAAAATATTTGTTACAAACATTTAAGATTCTTTAAATTATAAGTGAGCTATGCACTGAATCAAAGAATCTAGGCTCTTGATACATAAACTAATATATACCAAAACTGCATGAAAAATTTATGATAGGAAATAAAATTTTGTGGATGTGAGACCAAGAAATGTCTTAATTTTCTGTAAATTCCTACGTAATTTTATGACCTTGGACCTCCCCGCCAGTCTCACATACATGTAACAGACAAATCTGGGGCAACTGAAGTTTGTAGAGGTCCTTCTACAGAAAGAAACCATTTGAAATTTAATAGTGAATGCATGAGCAACATTTATGATCTCTCATTTAAAACACAAACGGGGGTGCCTGGGTGGCTCAGTGGGTTAAGCCTCTGACTTCAGCTCTGGTCACGGTCTCAGGGTCCTAGGATCGAGCCCCACATCGGGCTCTCTGTTCAGCGGGGAGTCTGCTTCTCCCTCTCTCTCTCTTCCTGCCTCTCTACCTACTTGTGATCTCTCTCTGTCAAATAAATAAATAAAATCTTTAAAAAAAAAATAAAACACAAACAGCACAGGGAAAATTAAATGTGAAAAGCCAGTGGTAGATATTGCAAAATGCTCATGACATTAAGTCCAGCTAACATCCATCACCACACAGTTACAATTTTTTTTCTTGTGATGTCAACTTTTAAGATCTACAGTCTTAAGAACATTCAAATATACAATATGGTATGAACTATACTCAATTATATCTCAATTTTTTTTTTTTTTTTTTTTTTTTTGGAAAAGCCATTGGTCACTCCTCCACATCCAGTCTGGTTTCCTTCTTAATAACAGTTAGAAATGCTTGACCTTGATGAGCGGACTAGGATGTTATAGGATAGGAGAGGAGATCAAAAGGGTGCATGAAAGAGGTATATCTAAGTGAATGATTTAGTGGGGCCCTTAAGACGTCTGAGGGCACTAAGAGCAGTGGGTTGGGCAGAGGGTACAGAGAAGGAAGCCTGGAAATACCAAGTCTGTACTGGGCACACACTTTCCTTCTATTTTCTCCCAGACTAAGCTGGTGTATTGTTCAGTTTATAAGACTCTGATTTGCCTTAACACAAAATATTTCTCCCAAAATTGAGATTTATTCAATATTCTCAAGAAATTATTAGTTTCTATCACAAAAATTATGGAAATATATTAGCCTTAAGAAAGAGACTAAATTGGAATTCTCATCAAAAAAATCTTCACTCCCTGTATAACATCATGGTCATAACTTGGGTAATATATAGATAACATAGGTATAAACAATCAACTTCAACTGACTTCTTTGCTTCTCCTTTAGGATTACAGTGGCAATCATTACCCTCTTAACCCATCTCTGAATATTCCTTATCCCACATCAGACAATAATTTTGCTCCTCCTTTTCATCCTTCAGGGAATGAAATCCCCAATTACCGTGGGAATCCTGACCCTGATTCAGGGGGACCCTCATATCCCTGGATTCTCAGTTCTCCCGGAGCTCTCCCCTACCACAGTCCTAGTTTTCCTGTAACTACTTGGCTGTCCTCCTCCTCTCCTCCTACTCCTCCTCAGAAATCTTCCCTCTTTGCCCTTCCCTCAAGTACGCTTGGAGGACCTTTTTTCCCAGACAGTGCTCCCATGCCTAAGCCTGCTGAACCTTACATAGCCACAGCTCTTGTAGCTGTACCTACTACACCTCCCAACCCAAAGCTTATTGCCATTGAGCCTGGGCCCTTAGAGCCTGATGACGCCGAGCCTGTGGCTTCAGAACACCAGCCTTCTACTTCCCTGGATTAGGTGGGTTGCCTAAACCTTATTCCCATAATGCACGGAATTTGTAGGAGAGAAAAGAAACTGAATCTCCCCATAAGGAAACAAGTATCAATTAAACATTTTGAACAGCTTTATGAAGATTCAATTGGCATACAGCAAACTACAGGTACTGAAAAGGTTTGCCATGGTAAGTTTTAACATATCTATATACCAATGGGGGAGGGGAATCCCACTCTCCTCTTTCTCCTATCCCTAATCCATTTTCTGTCCTTACAGATTGGCTCACATTTTCTAGAATTGCATGTAAACAAAATAATACTGTAAATACTGCTCCGTGTCTGCCTTCTTTCACTCAGCATAATTATTTTGAAATTTGTCCATATAGTTAAGTATATAGTAGTTGTCTTGTCTTTTTTTTTTCAGAGTAGCTTTTCATGATAAGACCGTATCATTCATTTTATATATATATATATATATATATATGACCCATTCATCTATTAGTAAACATTTTAATTTCCAAATTCGATGCTACTGATTTATTTCCATTTATTTATCTATTTGTTAATGCATACTGTACTGGTTAAAACCTCCAGGTCAGCGTTAAATAGAAGTGATCAAATAGACATCACTGCCTTGTTTCCGATATTAGGGGAAAACATTGTTTTTCCCATATACACTTGTTCATGGGCTTTATTTACAATGGCATTAGGTTACAATGCTGTTAAGGCTTTCAAGCCATAACAAAGAAACATTTTTATCTAAGGCTCCTTTTTCCCATTAAGGAGATCAAACCATTCTGAGTAGTCAAGTTTATGCCCTGTGAATTTTGAGATTTTTCACTCTTAACAAGATCAAAAACTTTTTCCTGCCCTCTGTGAGTACCAGATATTGTTCCATTTTGTCTTTCAGTGGTTCTTTAAACCAGGCTTCAGGTGATATCATCATATAAATAATCCATACTCAGTTGAAAATATGAGGGTAACCTCTTTAGATCTTTGTATCTTTATCTTTGTCTCTTACCTCTCTGATGCTCTGCTCTGTGAATTTCAGCTACCTTGTTTTCCTGGACTCCTAGCTCCATTTCCCTTCACGAAGGCCTGGAAATTCTCCAGGCAGTAAGCTAGGACAATCATAGGGTTCACTTTATTTTCTTCCTTTCTCTTAGGGATCACTGTCCTTCACTGCTTAACGCTCAGATCTCAAGAACCTGCTGCTTCTCCCATGTTTGGTATATTTTTAAAAATCTCTTCCAAGTAAAAGAGTAAAACCACTTTCTGTTACTCATCTTGACCTGAAGTATTGTGTTGTTTTTTTTTTTAATGATCATTCTTTAAAAAATCTTCAAGAAGCAACTATTCCTTAAGTTTTAGTAGATGTAGTCCAAGCAATGGACTATTTTATAAAAGGGAAAGTGGGATTCCCAACTACATGGAAGAAACTCTGAATTCAGGGCACAGACTGAAAAGAAATGGGAGCTTAACTCCACCAGTGAAAATTTTGCAGTAGGCCGCCATTAATGGAATGCTCTGGCAATCGTTTCCTCCATGGAGGTACCGATTTTCTTCCAGTCCCTTTGTTCCTGATAAAGATTGGGATCAAGTTAAAGGGTTGTCTGAAACTGCTCCAGAGAAGTCTAAAGCATAGGCCTTATTCTACAAGACCCCACACATTAACACTTTCATTCAGCAGGTTCCTCTGATTCAAAGCACTTTCCATCTACAGCCTATGCTGTGGCTCACATGGGGGCAGAGGGAAAATGTTGGAAAGTATGGATAAAAAAAGGGGACTTGATTTTAAAAAAAGGGGAGGGGGGCTTGAAAACACTGCTAAATACTTGGACTTTTTCCTTAGCCAAAGGAATTTATCAAGGATCTTCCTTGAGAAGAATGATTTGACCAGTTCTCCATTTTCAAAAGCTAAATACGGTGGCAATCTAGAGTATTCTAAATATGAGTTACAAAGAGATCACCAGGATACAACTTCCAAGAGACTAAAGATTATTCAAGAAAGATAGGCCCACTATTATGAAATGAAGTACATTTTATCATGCACGAAAGACCTTTTTGTTTTTAGGTAAAGAAATGACATTTTCTAGAAAAGAGAGTACCAATCCTTTATTTCTGTAAGTCATACATGATACTGAGATTTAAAAATCACACATTAAATAGACTAAATCTCATCATGTGAAACCACCTTGGAATATATTTTTACTACATGAAAACAAGAAAGGGGGGTGTGGAGAAGCATTGGTCCTGTGTCCTCAAGCTTCTGCAATTATAAACTTATGTCCTGTGTAAGGAACTCAGGAACTGAGTAGTTTTTCCTTAAAACTGATCCAAAATGATTATGATGAATATTCTAAAATAATAGTGGTTGATGAAAGGAAGAAACTTCCATAGGAGGTATAGGGGTTGAATTGTGGATGAGAGGAACCATTGCTAAAGCTGGCACAGATCTTTCTCTATTATAACTATTCAGCTTCCCTTACCCCACACCAAGAGCCACTGCCTCAGAAAACATGAACAATAATTTAGGCCTGAAATCTCCCAGTCCCTAACTCTTGCCCCCACAAATGTGTCTTCCATCCTCTGTTATACATTAGCCTGAAAAGAAAGGCATTGGTCAAAAAGCTCATTTGTGCTCATTCCACCTGAGCTCATCTGAACAAAATATTTGGTTACTCATTCCTCACTCATTCATACTTTCCCAAAGCTGTTCCAATTTTACTGTTATAAAATTGGACAGGAAAAATGTCAAGGGCTTATTTTACTTTATTTCACAAGCCAAATCAGAATTTCTATTGAGGTAGAATTGAAAATCAAATGTGAGGGCAGTTAATATCATTGGTGATGTCTCTTAATAACAGTTAATGTCAAGGCAATTAAAAAGCTTTAAATTTTAATGTTGCTATATTCTTTGGTTTTTTAACTTATTTTCTATTATATTAGATCAAAAGGTATTGGTTGGTAAATTAGTTGAAGATATTACATAAATTTAATAATTTCATATTTTCAGTAAGCATTCATGTTTAGTTTCTTACTATATTAATTACTTAATTCATAATAAGTAACAGAAGAAATGTGCCACTTTTCCGGAAAAGTCTCTTAAGGTAGAGAAGGAATTTTATTTTATCATTCAGTATCAGAAGTCTGGAACGAAGGCCCTCACACAAAGGAATCCTATATAATGTATACATGCATGCAAATAAAGCATAATATTGAATAACAATGCATTTTAAAATAAATTGTTACAAGACTACATGCATCATATATACAAGAAGATAGAAGAAAACAAACGAATCTCTTAAACGTGCATCTTAATCACAGTATAGATTTGTAGGTAAACTTTTAAAATAGTCCTTTAACATTAAAATCACAAAACAATATTTTGCTATAAATGTAATTTTATTCTATTATATAAAACTAATTATGTTATTTTCCTTTTTCCAGATACTGTTGAACACATCAATGAAATCTACAAAAACTTTTGGAAAGTCTTTTCCAAAGACTTTCATTCTGTTATATTAAAAACACTATTCTCCCATATTGATCAGCTTGTGGTTTTTTTCATCAGACTTCCTTTATACAGAAATGATATTAATGTTTTACTTTTTCCATTCAAATTTTTAAAAAGGCTATTTCCTAAATATGTAAATAATTGTCAGAGATTTAAACATATGATGGCAATATGTGTCTTTCTTTTGAATAAACACTATTCAAAAAAAAAAAAAAAACCCAGTACAAATAGAATTTTTTAATGGTTTGTTTCCAAATTGTGACAGAAGGTAAAGGGGAGACAACCATCATTCCACAGCCCTCCCCATTCTCCTTCCCTCAAGATGTTTCATCTCTTTTTTAAAATATTTATTTAGGGGCTCCTGGGTGGTCCAGTTGGTTAAGCATCTGCCTTTGGCTCAGATCATGATCCCAGGGTCCTGAGATAGAGTCCCGTACGTGGCTCCCTGCCTAACAGAGAGCCTTTCTCTCTCTCCCTCTGCTGCTCTCCCTGCTTGTGCTCTCTCTCTGTCAAATAAACAAATAACCTTTTTATAAAAATTAAATATTTATTTAATATCAATTTACATAACACTTGCCAGTACTAAGCAATCTTCTAAGCTCCTAACAAATGTTAACTTAAGCCCATATAATAACCATTAAGTAGATACTATTATCATCCTCATTTTAAACATTAGGCAGATGAGTAACAGAGAAGATAAATGATTTACCAAAGGTTACACATTTAGAAAAGTGTCAGAAACAGAATGAGAAATTACACCAAAGAACATGGAGTTAGTATTTTATAAAAATTAGAAGACACACAAGTTGACATGAAATTGAACATGAAGCCTATATTCACTTCTTCTGCCTGCTCCAATAAATTAACATAAAGTTGGGTAAATTAAGCCAACAAAAATGCATTCTCTCACAGTTCTGGAGGTCAAAAATCAATTTTACTGGGTTGAAATTAATGTATTGGAAGGGCCATGGTCCCTGTATAGGCTTTTGGAGAGCTTTGGCTCTTCTAGCTCCTTTCTGTGGCTGCTAACTTTCTTTAACTTGTCTCTGGATCATTCTAATCTTCAAGGAATCCATCATCAAATCTCTGTCTGCTCTGAGCTTTTCATTCTTTTCTTCCTGCTTGTGTTGAAATCTTCCTTTGCCTCCCTCTATAAGAATACATGTGACTACATTTAGCACCTCAAATAATCCAGTATCTCTCCGTTTTAAAATTTAAATCACAATTTAATCATATATCTCAAAGAGATATTTTTGCCAAATTAGGTAACAGTCACAGTTTCCAGAGATTAAAATAAAGATCTCTTGGGGAGACATTTCACATCCTATCACATTCCATCACAGCGACAGGATAGAATTTAGATGAGAGTTAGGTGTTGCCTTGATGAAGGAGTAACTCCTTAAGTTAAATCACCCTACTCAGACATGGGAAGATTGATGGTATCTGAGCAATGAGCGAATGCTTTGGCAAGCACACAGCTTCATATCTTCAAGCACATGAATCCCTGT